AACACGTAGTTTGATGATTATTTGCATTGTTACAATTTTTGTAGACAAAGTTACCATGTCATTTGATTATTACTAATATTGTAACAACGTTATTTGACAAAGATGAATTAACACGTAGTTTGATGATTATTTGCATTGTTACAATTTTTGTAGACAAAGTTACCATGTCATTTGATTATTACTAATATTGTAACAACGTTATCTGATGAAGATGAATTAACACGTAGTTTGATGATTATGTGCATTGTTAAGATTTTTATAGACAAAATTACCATGTCATTTGATTATTACTAATATTGTAACAACGTTATTTGACAAAGCTGAATTGTGTATTTTCACAAGATGAAGTTTTACTTTTTTCTATAATCGAACTTGCTGAGACAGGTTTCACAAGGCCACTGATGGTGTAACTCAAACAGAAGATGTGTATTTCAGCCTGGGAATGCTAGCTTTAGAAAACGGAAACTCTGAAACTGCTGAGCGCTGGTTCCGTAAAGCTGTTGAGGTAAGCATGTTCCCGACACTATCAGATTCCGAACACCGGCAAGTCCCGAACGCTGGCAAATCCCGAACACGGCAAATCCCGAACACGGCAAGTCCCGAACGCTGGCAAATCCCGAACACGGCAAATCCCGAACACGGCAAGTCCTGAACGCTGGCAAATACAGAACACCGGCAAGTCCGGAACACTATCAAATCCCGAACACGGCAAGTCCCGAACGCTGGCAAATCCAGAACACCGGCAAATTCAGAACACTAGTAAATGCTGAACACTCTGCAATCCCAGACTCTAGCAAACTCTGAATATTGACTCCTTCACTTCCATGGCCACACGTTTATTGTCTTCTTATAGAACACTGCCACGAGAGTTTGTGATCTTGTACTTGTATTAAGAAAGGGTATTTTTCCTTTCAATTTTCCGAAAGTTTACCAGTTTAAGGTAAGTAAAGAAGCATTAGACCGTTTGCCACATTTTAAATCTGGTACTGGGAAAGTTATTTATCCATAAGTGCGGCAGCAGTTAAAGAGTTAACAAGCTGTCACCAGTACCGAAGGTCATGTACACCTTTTGGAAGAATGTTTAAATTCGATACCCACTAGTAATGAAAACCCTGTTTCTCTAACGACCATGCTCTATCTACTTACAGAAGGTCATGTACACCTTTTGGAAGAATGTTTAAATTCGATACTCACTAGTAATGAAAACCCTGTTTCTCTAACGACCATGCTCTATCTACTTAAAGAAGGTCATGTACACCTTTTGGAAGAATGTTTAAATTCGATACTCACTAGTAATGAAAACCCTGTTTCTCTAACGACCATGCTCTATCTACTTCCCTGCTTCAGAATAATGATTCTTTAGCTTCGTTTCCATGGAGCGACCATGGAAAAACTTTTATATAGCTTTTCATAAACTAGCTAATATCTTAGATTTGCGATTTTCAAGACCACGTTTAAGCAGACTAAAGGCAAATTTGACAGGTATCTGACGGATTGCGATTGTTGTGATTTCGATTTTTTCTATCTTTCTCATAAAATCAGCCATTGATTTCAAAGTATGGCTAGAAGTTTGTGAACATTTAGCTTGTGATCCTTCGTCAGCTTCAAATCCATATTTTAAATTATCTTTTTAACGGTACTAGGAGAAATGCTTAGCTTCATCGCAATCTCTTTGGAGGGTTAGAAGGCTTCCTTTCGTAACGATAACTTTCACTTTACGTATGGCAGCGGTGTTCCTGATTCTCCTGCCTTGAGGTGGGGTAACGAAGCACCTTGCTGTGTTGAAAGCTCTCCTGTGCGAGCAGTTCTCTTCTGTGTAGAATATTGATAGCCACTTCTTCGAAATGCTGTGTCCTATGATTCTTCATTGTTTAACAACCTTGCTATATAAATACTTTTCTTCGGAAAGAGCAGTCACATAACCATCTACACATCGATAAAATTTTGAGGATATTTTACAAGCTCGAAAAGAGCGAGGTTTTCATTCATATGCGGAACAGATGCCAGTTTGTCACGTGGCTGAAGTTCTGGAGTTATCACAGCATTCGCTGGGAATTGGTAACAGCTTTATATCGCATTATATCTCTCTGTGTGGTAATGAAACAAACATTAGCATTATCGAAACACAAACATACTGAATAACTTACGAGCAGTAACACGTGCTAAATGATTTACTTAACGACCAGTTAAACACCACTAGTCCATTTCCTCATTATTAACATGCAAAATCTTAGCCTTGTTAGATCCAGATCAACAAAATATAATACATAGTTGTTAAACCTTGTCAGGTGGAAGGTAAATCGATAAATAAAGTGGCTATAGTTAGAACCATATCAAAAAAGGACCAAAAAAGTATAAACTTACTATTCTTAGAACCACTTATAAAACGAAGGGTAAACCAATAACTAGAATACCACAATTGTTATAACCACCTTCAAAACAAATAGAAAAGCGATAAATAAAATACAATCATTGTTGCAACCTAGACCAAATGATAATACAACTATTGTTAGCCACCTATAGTGAACGGTAAATTGATAAGTTGAATACCAGAATATCGCCATTGTTAGAACCGCTCATAAAACAAAGGTAATCTGGTAAGTATTATAACCCATTTTCACAATTACGTTTAGAAGGAATCGTAAAGCGATAAGTAGAATATAGCAACTGTTAAAATCACATAGAACTGATAACTAGAATACAACCATATTTAGGATTAAATACGCCAACAGATGAACAAACCCATACAATAAAGCTACTATTCTTAGAGGAAAGAAATATTGTGATGTTTAGAAAGCTTCAGTAATTACTGCGGGCATGATATTTTGTGGAAACCTTATCCCATGAGGAGCTATTACTTAGATTATAATGTGTCTTCAGATTATTTCGCTGATGGAGAAAATAAACAGGTTCTGGAGAATAGATTAATCAAACGTTTGTTATAATTCTTCAATCTTTAAAACCGAATCACCTTCACTGAAATCAACACGAGTGGGACTTTTGAATCAGCATAAAAACAAAAAATAAATAGCTATCTCAGCCATTGGTGTCACCTACAACATATATATTACATTCTGCTGAATTTTCTCAACACTGAACTGATTTTTAAAAATCTTTTAGAAAATACTTGGCTAAAAATAAAAATATTTCGCCTGTTAAAATTATCTAATTTTTCTTTAATATTTGTTTTTTTGTATGGCATGGCAAGAGTCCTCTGAAATGTAAAAACAATGATGTATTGAAGATTAAACACTTGATAAGGTTTTAATTAATTTTGTACTTTCTTAAAAAACTTTTTGCAAAGATTAAACCCAGTGACCGAAGCGCCCTCTTCAACCTTGCATTGCTGCTTACGGAAGAAAATCGTCACTCCGAAGCTCTTGAGGTTCTTCAACAACTGTTGCAGGTTAGCCAAATAACAAGTATTCCAGGCTAATCGATCTAAATCATTGTTACAAACCTATCTATCTTAATAAGTTTTCTGCATCATGTGTTATAAGATGGAATCTACAATGGTTGTTACAACTAGTTTGAAACTTTGGTGTTTGTTAAAAGTTTAAATCTACGATGTTTTTATTTCAAATTTGAACAGAAAAATGTATTTTCAACGATATTCTGAATTATTTTTAATCTATTACAAATAAAAGTTTTCAGTGTAAAGTTACAACACGCATTAGAGATAATAATCACTATTGATAAACTGAAATACTCTGCAAAAAACGTAGTAACTTATATATATATATATTATATACTTTAAATTTATAGAAGGTTGGCAATCAAAAATTCGTCAATAATTCTGTTGTGATTCCTTTAAATCCCAAAGAAATAGGAACGTTGGAATTCTACATACATTTTTCTTAAAATATCCGATTCTAACAGAAATACTAAAATTCGAATAAACATGCTACCATTACTTCCAGTTATTATTGAAATAATAAAATCGTAATTCTTAAAATACATCAAGTTTACAATCCAGTTTCAACAGAAACAGCAGAGTTTACTCTTTAAATCATAATTTTGCTACACTCAGTATCAGCAGAAAAAGCAAAGTTTACTCTTGAAACATAAAGTTGTTTAATCCTGTTTCAACAGAAACAACACAGTTTAAACTTTTTAAAAAACCTAAAGGTATTACATCCAGTTTAAAAAAAAAACAGCAAAGTCGGCATTTTTTAAACAATCTAAAGTTGTTACTTCCAATTTCAACAGAAAGAACGAAGAAGTTTAATCTCTTAAAAACCTAAAAGCTGTTACATTCACTTTCAATAGAAACAACAAAAGTTAAACTTTTAAATAAACCTACAGTTCTTACACCCATTTTCAACAGAAACACCAAAATTTAATCTCTAATAAACCTAATGTTATTACTACCAGTCAGTCTTTAATAAATAGGTCACGTGTTAAAAAGCATTAAATTTTTTTTGTGATTTCTCACGAACTTTTATTACCTATTTAGCATCATGCTACCCATGTAAAAGGACTCCTTCTACTGGGAGATATCTACGTAACACAGCTGGAAAACCTGGACGGGGCGGAAACGGTGTGTTCTTTACAAATGTATCTGCAAATGTTTTTCATAGATAGATGGATAGACTTTCATTTGAAATTATGTACATCTTTGTAGCTCCAAGCATTTCCCTGGACTGATATTGTAGACTAATATCGGTACTGTGGTAACTTATATAGTCCTGTGAATGCAACTCAGTAATACATGAATATTTCAGAGCTGAGTGAAGCTGTTTCCAGTACTCTTATCGAACAAAACACCATCTATTTTGTGAAATTCCTCTTCTCACTTGCAATAAAATCCATCTTCTTTTTTTAAACGTTAGCTTGGAGTCTTCTGCACGCAAGAAGTCAACACGTTTTTTTTGTGTGTGTTTTTTTTATTTTTTGCCTATTGATAAGATGAAAGAAACTTTATAGTTATTATATAATATTTTCTGTCTCAACTAAACCACTTGGATTCAGTAATTCTTAGATATGCACACATAGAGATCACTGTGACATATTAGTGTTGATAAATTTATCGATAGTACATAGACAGGGGAATATGTAGAGAGGAAGACGAATTAACACACAAACAGACAAATTATTAATGAAGAACCAACCAACCTGTTAGTGGTGAGCCGAAACTAAATTAAGATTATTATTTTTTATATATAAAACACTTTATATGTTAGGCCTTTACTTTATAAAACAACATTATTTACGTAATAGTGCTGAAATCATGCATGCATGTGTTGTTTACCAGCTCGATGTTTAGTTCTTGGTTTCTATATTAGTACTGTGATCATGCAGATAATTAAAAAAACATCATTACATACATAACAGTGCAAGTCATTATAAAATCAGTATTATGTACATAAAATAACAGTGCCGTAGTCATGCAGGTTATTGTAGAATTAACTTCACGCAGATAATAGAGCTGTAGCTATGCACAGTTTTATACAATGTAGTCGTGGAGTTTATTATACAATCTGGAAGTAGTCATGCGGGTCATTGTACAATCAATTTTACGTACATAATCAGAATCTGTATTACGTATGTGCTGTAGCAGTCATGCAGATTATTAAAGAAACAGCATTATGTACATAATAGTCTTTCAGTTATGCAGGTTATTACAGAATGAGTATTACATACATAACAGTACTCCAGACAGGCGGGTTATTACAGAATGAGTATTACATACATAACAGTACTCCAGACAGGCGGGTTATTACAGAATGAGAATTACATACATAATAGTCTTTCAGTTATGCAGGTTATTACAGAATGAGAATTGTATACATAACAGTACTCCAGACAGGCAGGTTATTACAGAATGAGAATTGCATATATAACAGTACTCCAGACAGTCACATTATTACAGAATGAGAATTACATACATAACAGTACTCCAGACAGGCAGGTTATTACAGAATGAGAATTACATACATAACAGTACTCCAGACAGGCAGGTTATTACAGAATAAGAATTACATACATAACACTACTCCAGACAGGCAGGTTATTACAGAATGAGAATTACATACATAACAGTACTGTAGACATGTAGGTTTTTACAGAATATTATCTGCGTAGCTGTGCTGTAATTGTGCTGGTTTTTGCAAAATCAATCCTGCTATTTCTTTCTGAATATCATTTTTTTCGTCGATCTTTGCTTTAACAATATGAGTATATTTTTTTCAATTTTTCTTTTGTTAAATATACATGTAAATCGATTTTTATTTTTATACTACTTCAGTGTTACCAGAAGATCCTGGAAGTTGACCCCCAAAACGTCCAAGGTCTACATAATCTGTGTGTGGTTTATCTTCACAGAGGTCACTTGAAACAAACAGAAGAATGCTTTCTTAAAGCCTTGAATCTTGCCCCAAGAGCTGAATATATTAAGCATCATCTTCAATTGGTCCGATCTCAAATGCTAAAACAAAATCAACCAATGGGAGTTACTCAAAAGAATTTACGTCATTTGAAGTTTTCTGGGTCAATAAGATGATCAGTAAATCTATGAAGCAATACTATCAACAAGCTGCTACTTTTCTTAACTGAGAGAAAAATTTATGTCATCGCAAAAACCAAGCCAAACATACTATGGGACAGAAGGCTAGAAACCTGGAATTTCAGACGTCAAGCAACAGCGATAATTTGTAATTTGAAAGTAATTTCTTTGAAAATCGTCACGTGCGAAGACAACTTCTGTAGTAATTATAGCAGAAAATGAAACATATGATTCATTGATTGCTCGCTATTTTGATGCTACGTGACGTTATAAATCGTTCTTCTCTATTTACTGGAAGTGGTATTTACTGTTTAGAAGGATTTTGATTAGAAAAATGATTTACTGACAGTTTCTGTGATAAGTTATATAGACAGAAAAATGCCAGATTTAAAATAAATATGTGTGTGTGTGGTTAGATGTGTGCAGATGTGACGATTGTGCTGCTCTATCTTGTAACGAGAACAGAGTCGACACTCCAAATCATCTGTGCTGTAATCAAAGAGAACATATACAAATAAAATCCACCTTTTCCGTTACTTGCAAGTTTTTATATTGGTGTAAAATCGAGCTTACGTTATTTGAAAATGTTATTATAAGTAGGGTGATTTTTATGCCTTCCTTGGCACTGTCATGTGTAAAGAAATAAATCAGAAATCAAAGAAATGGATCAAAATTATTTTAATAATGAAATGGAATTTATTTGATGTGGTGTATCTTCGATTCCCTACATATATATATCTATATATATATATAGTATTGTTCTCTGTATTGTTCTTGTTATAATTTAGACATGGAATAAGAACTGGTAATGTTAACTAATTTTGCGTTTTAATCTTGAAATGGCGTTCTTTTGTTAGGCTTAACTGCTTTACTTTACTAAAAACTTATAAAGTTGGATAATTTTGCCTTGTTATTTTGAATCAACGTTCTTACGTTAGGCTCAGCTGCTTCACTTCACTAAGAACTGATAAAGTTTGTAATTTTCGTTTTTATCGTGAAGAGATGTTCTTTCTTTAGGCTTAGCTTCTTTGATTAGAAGGAACTGATTTTGCGTTTTTTATCTTTGAGCAACTTTTCTTTCGTTAAGCTTGGCTGCTTTACTTGATACATGCGTTCAATGAAGTAGCAATGTTTAAGTCTAAGAAAGAAATCCTAATCGGCATTAAGTAAGAATCGTTTATAGTCTTTATGAAAGTGATGTCCTTTCACACTTTACTGTTTTCATATGAATAACTATCTGATAATCTGAAAATCCTAAATTTTTCTTCTGAACAAATTCTACAATATTTCTTTAAGTAATACTGCTACCTGGTGGAGAAATTTATTCAACAATTATTCATCTGTTTGTACTTTGTTAGAGTATAGTATGTAGATAATGAAGATTAATATTATGTACATCAAGCATAGTACATATAAGAAATAAGATTTATAACCATTGTCTCGAAGCCTGAAAGAAAAATTAATAACTTCATCTGACTGCACTTCGAGAAATGTGTATGTAATATATATAAATATATATATATATAATATTTAAAATAAACTAATCATATTATCTCTTCCTCAAGACGTGACGAATCTCGTTATTATATATGGTAAAGGCGCAAAGATACAATAATAACAAGTAAACTAAAGGATACAATAATAACCTGTAAACTAACGAATACAATATTAACAAGTAAACTAACGAATACGATAATAAGAACTAAAATAACGGATACAATAATAACATGTAAACTAAAGGATGCAATAATAACATGTAAATTAAAGAATACAATAATAAAAACTAAACTAACGAATACGATAATAAAAACTAAAATAAAGGATACAATAATAACATGTAAACTAAAGGATGCAATAATAACATGTAAACTAAAGGATGCAATAATAACATGTAAATTAAAGAATACAATAATAACAACTAAACTAAAGGATATGGTAATAACAAGTAAACTAAAGAATACAATAATAACAACTAAACCGAAAGGTACAACAATAACAAATTACGAAAGAATAGGACATAATAACCAAATTAAAGTATATAATAATAACTACTAACTTACGTAAATCAAATCTTCTACAGAACCTAAATTACCGTAAATCGACTTTGTTTTCATTCAACATATTGTACTGAAGCTTCAAATACAAGTAACTTTTCATACCAAAAATGCCCAGTAGGGGTCCAATTTTTACGTTATAATGAAAGTACACTTAACCCCTTTTGTGGCCTTGGTAGCTTACCATGACTTCAGCTTTTTTTATCCATCAGATCAATTATAATAGGTTCCAAGAAAACTGGAAAATGAAAATGATTGTGATAAAAATATGAAATTGTACTAAATATGGTCAAAATTAACTCTCGTGATAAAATATAATGATTTTATAGTGCACGTGTAACTTAACGGGGAAAAAAAACTGTTCTTTTAACTTTAATTTTAGCGCGTTGGTAAAATCATATCCAGAATCCTACAACGTATATAATGACATAACATCGTTGATTTAAAAATAAATCAGAATATAGTAAAATTTATAATAAAAACGAGCGCTTTAATTGCATCAAATTGTTGCTGTTTGCTAAATGGGAAAACTTATTTCTTAATGCTTATGTAAAATATTGACAAACTGTAATATATTGAATGTAGAGCTATGTAAAATATTAATCAGTTTATTACAGTTTGATGTAGAATTGAATTGAAGACAATGGAAAAATAACAAACATAACTGAAGCAATATAGGCTACTGAAAATTGTTTTATCATATTTTACCTATATTTTAGTTGGTCCAATAATGTTCCAAAACCAAATCTGGTATTCTAGGTTGATAATACGTAAATAGGAATTTTTGTCAGTCCATGAAACAAATCTGTAGTTTTTTAAAATTATCGTTAGATGACGTTAGCACCCTTTATCGATAATAGTTTTAATCATTAATTTCAGGAGCAAATAGCTAATTTGATTTCTTAATTAAATCACTGATATCTAATCAATTATAATGTGATATAAAAGATGAAGTTGAAGCTAAAATACCACACTGTCCCAAATGTTCAGGATTTTCTTACGACGAATAAGTCTGAATCCATATAATTCATAAAAAGTGTTGCATGTATGTTCTTACACACTACTTTAATCAAAAATACAACTTATATAATGTGGCAGAAGTAGTTATAACATTAAAAAAATCTTGTTAGTTTTCAAGCAGAATGTTAAAGACGAAAACTAAACAATTTCATATTAAAGCGTTTTTAAAAGAAAAGATGGGTTATTACTACAGTCACTCGTAACTACCAAAAATCATTTGATAATGAATTAATGCTAATCATTTGAATTATCTGGTCTTTGTATTGTAGCTGTACAATTAAAGTCATAGAAAAAAAGAACATTATAATCAGTAAGAAAATTCATCATTTCCTTTGGTCATTATAAAGACATCAATGTCAGTGTGTTAAAATTCTTTTATCTCCAACTGACGCCGTCTCTATGAAGAATGTTTATTATCAACGGTCCTATCTATTTTTTTTGGGGGGGGGAGGAAAACTTTAAAAGGAATGAGGAAGCAGTAAGACTAATAGCTTATCCGAATACTATCATAAAATTTGTTCTGCTCCGTCGAGTTTTTTGTCGCCGTTTATTTCATTGAAGCTTCTATATCAGCCCTAACGTTGGCTTTCAACATTTAAGACAAGCTTGCACCATGTACCCTCATTGACAATTGAGTTTGATGGGTTCTTGTGGAGGCGTTATATGTAGTGAAAGTTGCTGTTTTATACCAGTAAATAAGGCCTTGAAGGTAATAAGTTCAATTGCTGAGCCTCCCCAGGCCACTTAGAGGTCCTGAGGGGTGACAGAAAAATTAGACAGTTCCCTCTAGAGATGCTGACTGTTTATCCCGAGAGTTTCTCAAGATACTGTTGTAGAAAATTCTAAAGGATGCAAAAAATTGTATAACATTCTTCAGAGATGCTGACGAACGACCTCGAGAATTTTTCAAAGTTTTGTTTTGGGAAGTTTGGGAAGATGCAATAAAAGTTAGGCAATTCCCTATAAAGATGCTGACTGTTTACTCTGAGAGTTTCTCAAGGTACTGTTCTAGAAAGTTCTGACGAGCACAAAAAAAAGTTAGACAGCTCCTTCTAGAAGTGTTGACTGCTTGCTTTGAGGGATTCTCAAGGTATTGTTTTGTAACGCTCCTAGGGATAAAGAAAAGCTAGACAACCCATGTTGAGATGTTTACTGTCTACCCTAAGATTTTTTTCAAGGAATTGCGTTGGAAGCTATAATCAAACTGAATTTTGTTTTTGTTTTTTACGCGATACGTAACCTCAAGTATTCTGAAGATAGCACCTTTGATGTTTATTTTGATCTCACACACCAACAGACAGATATCATGGCCAGTCCTCCTTTAGGAATTTAACGTCTTTTTGATACAGTAGTAAAAAAAAATACATTCTTTCCAGTGTAATCCACGGACAAGTTTCAAAAATGAAATATTATCATTTGTTCAGTGCTTAATAGTCAGATACTGTGTAGAAGTGTAACGTTAGAATTTGTATTAAAAACTGAGAGGCGGGATTCGAACCCACGACTTTGTATGCTTTTTCTGTTACGTAATGGAGTTTTCAGTTCTGTGTCCATGGATTGGTAAACAGAGAATTTGGCAGAATTCTTGTTAACCACAATCTGATTGTTTGCTTTGGTTTTCAAAGTAGTATATTTTTTTGATAATCTAGGAATCTAAGTTAATTTGGATGTTCACAATATGAAAATGTTCAAACATTGGGCACAGTTTGCCACTTGATAAACACTAATAAGTAAGCAGGACTCGCTCGTTAATTGTTGCTCTTTTATTTCGTTTTGTAGCCTAATACGTAAAGCCTAATATATCTACAAATTAAAAAACTCTTTTGTGCAGTAATACATTTCCTATTTAAAAAGTACTTTCTACATTATTTTCACACTACCTCTACAAATTACACAATAAAACCCGTCACTATTAACACAGTTTTTAATCCCTACACTAATCAGAGAACATGGAGTAAGTACTAGCAAAACAGGGCTAGGACAATTATTACTAAACATGTTCAAATGTTTCTCGTTCACAGGAATCTCTTGGAAGGGAAGATATATAAAACCATTCTATATAGAAATATTAATGAGTTTCAGAAGGGTCTTATCCAGCATGAGGGGAAGTATTGTATAAAAAAACTTAACTATTCTATACAAAAAATGAATAAGTTTCAGAGGGATCTCTTCGATATTGAGAAAAGTGCTATATACAAAATAAAAATTAACCTCTACGAAGTTAAAAGAAGGAAACCTATATAAAAATATTAATGAGTTTCAGAGAGATCTCTTCGATATTGAGAAAAGTGCTATATACAAAATAAAAATTAACCTCTACGAAGTTAAAAGAAGGAAACTATTCTATATAAAAATATTAATGAGTTTCAGAAGGATCTCTTCGCGATTTAGAGTAAGAAACTATATAACAATAAAAATTGATCGTATTTCACGGTTAACATGCCCGTAAATCTGCCTTTTGTGGCGGCTTTAAAAAACAGAAAGGAAAACTACCCTCATTAGCTAATGTGAGTCACGTAACAAGTGTTCTCAGTACAATGAATAATACATTTAACAATAAATGACATGAAACCAAGAGTGACATGAAAGTAATCTTGATATGACTTTATTGTATTTAAAAAGCAACCTTTATGTATTAGTTCGGGAATGTTCAATAGGCGTGGTCTGATTTTGCCAACTATGGGATTCCTACGCCGAAAGGCTCAAATACATCATTCTTTTATTACTGGGTAGAAGAAATATTGTATTATTCCTTACATATTATGGTTCCAAGAAATGAAATAGTAAAATAACAACTAAATTTTTACTAAGTTAGCTAATAAAAAATGGCAGGATGTGACGTCACAAAAGGCTCTGATTGAACACTCGTTTCTTCATTTTCGTCAATATCTGCTCTGTTGATGGGATTATTTCGGTGTGACTCCCAAAACATTATTTCTTTTAACTGTTTGATGCTATGATCTTCTTCTAAACCCGGCAAAATTTCGGGTGAAAGTGAACGTGTTTCACCAATCCGAAAATTATAAAACCAGTTACCAGTTATAAAGCGAGATAATACGAGTTTCTGTCGGCAACAGAATGTTTTCAAAAGCAGTTTGAATAATTTAGAAAAAAAACATCACTATTATTACAGTTCATGCGCATAAAATGAGAACGTATGCAAAGACGGTAGTAAAGAGTTATATAGATAAACAAAATTGGCACCGATTTAAAGCAAAAGGTGAACTCGCATATGATGATGGCGAATGTTTATATACACGAACACATCTATAATTATTATCATACAAACACAAAATATAACATATTTATATATATATATACGAGCACCGAAAACGAACGAACATATATAATGAATGTTTCTTTGTTGTCTCCACCACAGGGATCGAACACCGATATTCCGCATCATGAGATCTGGAGCTTACCGTTGAGTCACGCATGGAGTACAAATAATAAACACGTGTAAACACAAGAAATAAATACATTCA